TATGATGCAAAATGACAAAAAAATCTTTGAAATGTATGTTATTATTTTACAAATCATATATCTTTAAATATATACATGAAAGGTTTTCATGAGATATATTGTGTCCCCATACATTGCATTATTACAATTTATATGGTGTTGATTTAAGCTCTGGTTTGCTAGTAAAAGTGAATGACTGCTACAAAATGATGCATTTCTAAAAAGTGAGTCATCAACATGAAATGTCTGGAAAGCTCTGCTCTAGGGCATCCAGAATGACTCTGGGCCCTTCTTCATAGCCCTATATCCCAGAATATCAAGGCAGAAAATCCCACAATATCTGCTTTGAACTGGGTTATCTGAATCCACACTCAGATATTGTGGGCTTTTCAGCCTTGATATACTGGGATATAAAGCTGTGTGGAAGGGCCCTCAGTGGTCAACATCTTCTAGTCATACTAGAGGACCTGGAGATTTAGGGCCCTTCCACACAGCCCTATACCCTAGAATATCAAGGCAGAAAATTCCACATTATCTGGGTATGAACTCAAATAACCCAGTTCAAAGCAGATATTGTGGAATTTTCTGCCTTGATATTCTGGGATACTTGGCTGTGTAGAAGGGCCCCTAAAGAGAGAACACCCTCATAAAAATCATTAGGCCCTCCACTGCAATTCTATGGTCAGCTTCCAGTGGAAGTTGACAATAGAATTGTGATGGAAAATTCCTAAATATTTCCAGAGATGTGTTCTCTCAAGGCCCTTCCACACAGCCTATATCTCAAAATATCAAGGCAGAAAATCCCACAATATCGGCTTGGAACTGGGTTATCTGAGTCCACACTCAGATAATGTGGGATTTTCTGCCTTTATATTCTGGGGGCCCATACAGACAGTACTTTTATTGCGGTAACTCCTGCAATAAAGGAGGGGCTGTCCAGACAACATTCTAAACAATCCCAAATTAATTCGCTGGTTTATAGTGAATTAATTAGATAGTGGATTTATTCTGTGCCTTCTACAGTCCAGACACCATTCCCACAGTTTACCAGGCTAAATAAGCCTGGAAAACTGTGGGAATACCCACCCCCCTCMCACAAAGCACCCAAACCCCTTAGAAAAGTAATGAAAACTTACCCAGCCTCCATTACTGGCTTCGAGCAGCTCTCCCGGCGCATAGAAAAGACGTGCCAGGAGAATGGGGGAATAACTCCCCCCCCCCACTCTCCTGGTGTATCATTTCTACATGCCGGGAGAACTGATTGAAGCCTGTAATGGAAGCTGGGTAAGTTTTCATTACTTTTCTTAGGRGTCAGGGGGCTTTGGGGGAGGGGTGTAGGGCCTCCAGACATTCTCCTGGGTTAGTCCCAGGAGAATGTCTGAACATCCACCCCAGAAAGCGTGCATTTTCAGGGGGGGGTGAACACACCCCCAGGAAAATCCACAGTTTTTCTCCTGGGATAAAGGCCTGTTCGGATCCGCCCTGGGATATAGGCCTGCGTGGAAGGGCCCTCAGTGGAGTGATGACTGTATCTAAAGAAACAAAAATCACTATTCTCCCCTGAAATATCTGTAATAAAAAAGACTGGAAGGTAAAGAAGCTGACCTCTTCTCCCTTGTTGACCCCCACAAGTGCAAAATCGGATATTTTTGTCTCTAACTCCCCATCTCACTTAGGCCAACACAAGTTCGTATTTGCCACTCAGAATGGTGCATGCCACTAAAAGTTGTCTCCTTTCTCAGCCATGCAGTGAAAACACACAGTGGTGGCATTTCCCAGGGACTGTGAGTTTGTGTGATCTTCCAATCTGCTAGAAAAGAAAAAGCCACCAGCTCTGAAGTGAATGAAAAAAAGACTCTGCTTGGTAGCACTTCCTTTTCAACTCCTCAGCTCTGTTTGGCCTTGTGCCTCCGTTGTGGTCCTGATGCGCTTTATTGCAGGGACAAAGAGAATTAGCTTCAGAGACATCTCATTCATAAAAGGCACGTGATGCGCAAAAGGGGATCAATGGCAAAGGAAAACCCGGGTGTTTGTTTTTGCAGTTCAACCAGCACAAAAGCTCCTGTTGGGCATTATTCCACCCCCTCCGCTGAAGGCTCAAGTCTCACAGCTTTACAAAGCCGTGCAGCTAAAACTAGTGCGAGACTTGACGAATAAATAAATATTTGGAATTGAAATCTTTTAGCAGTTGATCCCTAGGAGAGAAAATGAACTTTCATGAAGAAAATGGAATTTAAAGTAGCTGGTTGGCTGGCTTGTTTTTCCTCTTGTATTAAGTAGTAATTTGCTTTCAATGTCTTGTTCTCCCTGCTTGTAAAATTAACTCTAAGCCAAATAAATATCTGAGTGGGATACGATCAATCAAATCCCTTCAGGACTGCTTCCAAAAGACCTGGAAAAATGGGAGAGGGGGAGATGCCACCAAATGCAGAAGCAATTTTACCACACTTGCAGTGGTTCTCAACCTGTGGGTCCCCGAATGTTTTGGCTGGTAAACTGGCTGGGATTTCTGGGAGTTGTAGGCCAAAACACCTGGGGACCCACAAATTAGAGGCAATGGGTCATTTTAGGCTTAGGAGATATCCTCTTTTCAATAAGAAGTAATGTAGAAATTGTTTTCCTGGCCTCTTTCTGTTGAGAATAAAAGGCTTTTCTTGGATATGCAATATCTTGTAAGGCCAAAAGTCCTAGCAGAACCATTTGCCCACATCTCTCGGGGTGTTGTTGGCATCCTGGGGCAGAAAAAAATTCAAAAAAAATTCAGGATGCACATGGCAGTCCTGCAATGTTCCCTAGGGGACAACAAAACCTCCTTTCCACTCACAGCTTACCAGCCCAACTCTGAAGACTTGAAAACCCTGATTTTAATTTTTTTTTCAGAATTGACATTTAAAAAAATAGAAAACTGAAACATTGGAGAACAAGCATAATCTCAATAGATGATGAACACTTACATTAATAAACAGGTTTTCTGAGCATTGATGTCAAAGTTGGTGCTTGTCACATCTCCAAGTGAGGAGTTAGCATCTGGCTCCATTATAACCCACTTCTGCCTATCATGATCAACAGCATCCTTCTAGGTTGTCAGTCTTTTCCCCCATCTGTACTATTTTCTGTCCTTTCTCCTGGATATATGAAATATTGAGCATGCCTATCAGAGTTTTACAACCAGTCTCTAGGCCAGTGTTTCTCAACCTGGGGGTCAGGACTCCTCGAGGGGGGGGGGTAGCAAGAGGGTTTTAGAAGTGTCACCAAAGTCCACCAGAAAACATATATTTTGATGGTCTTAGGACCCCCTTTGGCAGGGAAGGCTGAAGATCTGTCCACCTGTCCTCTTCCTTTTTGGAAACAGACGGTGAATCCTTCCACCAAAAGCCCTCCTTCTCTGTGATTGGCCAACCTCTCAGCCAAGGGGAGGGCTGTTTCTGAGACTCCAAAAGGGAAGGGGAGAGCAGGCATGCTTGGAGCATAGTAGCGTGCTGTGCATGTGTAGGCGAGGTAGAGCGTGTGAGGGTGGAGGGAGGCTTGTGCCAGCGATCCTCTTCAAGGCATGGGAGTTCTGTGTGGGAATTTTGGCCCAATTCAGAATGCTCTTTGATTGTAGGTGAACTATAAACCCCAGTAACTACAACTCCCAAATGTCAAGGTCTATCTTCCCCAAACTCCACCACGTGTTCACATTTGGGCATATTGAGTATTCGTGCCAAGTTTGGTCCAGATCTATCATTGTTTAAGTCCACAGTGCTCTCTGGATGTAGGTGAACTACAACTCCAAAACTCAAGGTCAATGCCTCACCAAATCCTTCCAGTATTTTCTTGGTCATGGGAGTTCTGTGTGCCAAGTTTGGTTCAATTCCTTGCTTACTAGAAATCACA